GCTGGACATTTTCCATCCGAGGTCTATCATTATTAAACTCCTCACGACATGGCGTTTTGTTTACCCGACAAACAGGACTGAAATTAGACCTTCCCGTTTTTTCCAGTCCAAATGTTATTCTGACGAGTCGTACGCTGGGTTTTGGACCAAGCTGCGCTCCCCGCTGCGTTTTTTGCAGAGCAGCCTGGATGCTGCTCATTTTCATTCATAACATCCTTGTGAGCAGGACTCAGATTTGGTTTTGCCGATTATTCTCACACTGAGACGTCACAGGGAGCCAGTCTGTGACCGAAACCCCCCGCAAATGAATCACGTCCCTCTGGGCCAATCCATCAAAAGGATTTTTTTTTTTTTACTGATTCATAAGGATTAATCTTCAACATCCAGAGCTCTGTGTGTATTGTGGAGTCTTTATACAGGCTAAGCCTTTTCTGCTTTTTCATCATCTGTCCGCTCATCCACCGGAGCTGCTGCTGCTGCTGCTGCTTCAGCAGAGGCCACCAATTAAACTGGGATTCATTAGAAGATGAATTTATGGGCACTCATAAATTACAGATGGAACATTTAACAGTGGAAATTCATATGTGGATCTATCAGCTGTGAAACCTCATGCTGCTCTTATTCCCCTGGGACTTCCTCTCTGCCTGCTGAGCAAATATAATACAGAGATATTTCACTACCACATTGGCACTTTAAATAAGTCTGGTCTGAGTAAGTCTGAGTTAGACAGAGTTAGACTGACTAAGATTTTTTTATATAACTATCTCTCCCTTATGAACATCCATTATACATCCATTTAAGTGTGTACAGTGGGTACTAAGCGAGTACTCTGTGCACGTGACTTTCCACCTCCCTGTGGATTCACTCGGCTCCACGCTGTCATCATTAAGTCAGTCAACAGTTAGTTTCAGGCTACAACAGCTACATTAGCATGTTCAAGGCTGCAGCGGAGCCTTGAGTACGTGTACACAATTATCACCGAGAATTCTTTTGAAAGCAGAAATAAAAGAGACTAAAAATGTGATGAGTTCACGTGGAAGAATGAATATTTATGTCAGGTTTTATTAGGAAATAGTGAAATGGATTTTCACTACATATCTGTGAACTGCATAGATCTATAGAAACTAGTGATGTCCGATATTATCTTTTTGCCGATATCTGATATACTGTTTTCATTAAAACACTTCTATTTCGATTCCGATATCAACCCACACCGATCTATGCAGTAGTTTGCCCTTAAAACTGAGGTCGTCGCCTCAGGACTCTACAAGAAACTTCAGCATATTTACATATATTTGACAAAACCCAGCCATTGCGTTATCGGGTTTTCATTATCGGATCAAAAACTGGTCGGCCTATATTATCGGACATCTCTAATGGAAACCTTTAAGGGCTTCAACATGAGTTTTGCAAAATTGATTTTTAGATTGTACACACACATCAAAGTACATTTTGGGAGGGGGGGGTCTGGGTTAGTTTGAAAAAAAGTTCTCTGCTCAAACGTACTCCACATTCTGAAGACATATGGCAGACTCTGTACTGTGCACATTTACATGCACCAGCATATGCACAGTAGACACTGAACCATCTCTGTATCCATCGTCATCATCATCATCATCAAACAAACACACATTCTGCAGCTTTTAGTTTCAATCAAACACCGGCAAAGACAACAACACGTCTGAGTCACAACAAGCTGCTTCCACAGATGGAGACGACGCTGCACCGAGAAGAAAAAAAAAACACCAAAAGACCTGCGGCTGCTGCTGCTGCTGCTGCTGCTCCACACAGCCTCCAAATCCAACCAGACTCAACTCAAAGGGTCAATGTTAGATTCAAAAACATTTAAATGAACATTTCCATCAACTTTGTCGACACGACTTCTTCTCAGATATGTAGCTACTTGTAAACTTTAGCCAAGTTTGGCTAACTTTTAGTAAAGTTGTGGGCCAACAATAAGACTACGGTTGTGTGTTTTTAGTCTCCAAAGACTAACCCTAACCCATCCACATCCTTTTAGCCATATTATTGGCTCAAATTGAACTAGTTTTGAACTTAGATTGAGCCAAATCTTAGGCTAACTTTTAGCTTCTGGTTAAATGTTATGGTCTTTGGTTCTGATTGGCTGCTGAAGGTCCTCAAGATCAGTATCTTTAAACTGCAGAGACTGCCATGTGACCACAGAGACATCTGGATATCACCTGCACAAAAGGCAAACAAATGAAAGATTTCTCTCTGTGCATCATAAAACCGGAGCAGACAGCTGCAGCTCCTCCTGAATACTGATTCCTACCTGCTAAATAAAGTGGAGCACATTACCACAGGCCCTTATAAATCACTGCTGCGGCCTCACTCTGTGTCAAAGGATGGATTTTAAAATCCTATTACTTGTCTATAAAGCACTAAATGGTCTCGGGCCTGAATACATCTCTGATCGACTGGTCCAGACCTCAGTGGTCTTCAGGGACGCAGCACAAAGTTTAGAGCTGCAGCTTTTAGTGTCTGCGTGGTTCACCTGTGGAACATCACTGACGCTGCTTCACATGCAAATAACTGGCCATTAGCACATTTATATTCCTGCAGTATTGTTAAAATTCAAAAGGGCATTTTCTCCCCTTATTTAAAGAACCTTTTCAAAGCACTGTAAAACTCCAGGAGGGGAAAGTTCTCTTATCTCCAAGGGTGTGTTCCAAAAAAACATTTAGATAATAAAATCTGAAGGAAATAAAGTGCAGAGTTATAGAATTATATGAATTATAGGAAGAATAAAAGAACAACAGCAAAGGTGAGTCGACTATAGTCAAAATGTCAAAAACAAAAGCTAAATTAAAAAGAGTTACAGAAGACAAAGAATCCAAAAACGAAGTTAACAAAACATAAAATCGAACACAGACATTTAAAGTAGCAAAATCACAACAAGGTGTCAAATAAATTTAACAAATATACTTTTTTTTTTGTTGTTGTTATTTATGGACTAAGTACTGATCAAGAAGTGAATTCAAAATCCAGCGTACACACAATCCTGTCCAGTTTGGTTTGAAGAACCGAAAACCATTGTCGAGAATAAATGCAGTTATCAGCTGTGAACTGATTTATTGATCTGAGCTTAACTGAGCTCAGCATCCATCCAACCACATGATCTGTGATGAAGTGCTGCTGACATTTGCCTGATTGCATCCGTGGGCCTCATATCGGAGCACACACACACGGGCCACGAGGCTGCACTCACGCTTCATCTCAGAAATGCCCCAGTGTGCACTCCATCATCCCACAGCAGAGTGTGTGTGTTGGATGAAGCAGTGTCGCACCATCATCACCACCATCAGACTCTGTCGCTCCCTTCATCATTTCCTGTTTCATATCTGCTTGAGCTGTAGACCAACTCACTACTGCTGCTGCTGCCGCTGCTGCCGCTGCCCCTTCTGCTGTTGTTG